TTCAGTCGCACGGTCTCGAAAATCTCTGAACGACAAGGTCAAATGGAACGAAAGGTACCAATTCGACCTTGGTTCCATGTGCTGATGACCCCTTGTTCCGTGAACAGCGGATCTCGAGTACTTGCGCAATCCACAGAATAAGCTTGCTCTTCTACCATTAATCCCTAACAAATTAATAAACAATATTTAAAAGAACTATGCGATATTATTTGCCTTTTTCTTTTATTTTCAATAAAAGAAAATAAAAGAAATCCTCTACACCGTATTATAGAAAAATTATTATAGAATTATTATAGAAAATTGAATGAATTTTAAAATATATACAATGTTATATACTACTAGTTAAAGTTAAACAAGGTGCATACGCGTGCTTTATTTTTAATCTGAATTTCCGTACCCCCGCAAGATAGAGAACATGCAAGAAATTGACTCTTGTCAGGAAGGTCATACGTGTGCGAGGAGTATAAAAAATTTCTGAGTAATACCTTTCAGTCTCTCTTCTTGCGGCGACACTATACTGCTCGTGATCTGATCAGCCAGTGTGGCCTTATCCTTGGGGTGTACGTAGTCGATGAAAGAACGGCCAATCCACGCGTCCTTGGGATATCCTAGAGCTGTGCATATCGAGGGAGTCGTATACAGCACGAGGCCGTCATGCATCGAAATCACCGCGCAAAATCCCTCCTACAGGATATACAATATAAAAGTGTTGGCATCGATTTAGAGCAGACGAGTGCTAGAAGATTTGCCCATGAAACCGTTCGTTAGCACGTAGATGACACTGAATCTATGTCATCAAGATCATCTCCACATAAAATCTCGACAACTGTTTATTCACTAGGTAGCTCGTAGAGAGAACTCGTCGCTACTTTTCTCTCTGTCACAGGTCGTTCGCATACTTTGCGATTTTTGCCAACAACAACATGCAAATTTTAGGATACATTTGCCATAAGACATTTTACATATGCAACACCTCGATAGAACTTTTGATCGGTCAATTGTAAACACTATGCATGGAGAAAAGAGTCGTATTTTATGTAGAAATGTAATTTTTATTCTATTCGAGTAATTGGAAATAATATAAAACAGATGAATTTTAAACGTGTTATATGTCAGAAAAGAAAAAGAAAGATACTCTCTACAGCGAGTATAATTAACTAAATACGTCTACGAGTTGATTAGTAAACCTTCGCCCACTTTAGCTATATCCCATTACCGGTGTCCAAGAAGGTTGATAGTTACCGTAAGAATTAAAAGGAGAGAGAAGGAAATTGAACATTTCGAAAGAAACATAGTAACCTCACCGACCACTAGAATGTCGTTTTGCTAGCGGCTGCTGTCAATCTCGATAAATCTCCTTTCTCCATGCATAACACCACTGAATCCTTGCAACAATGACATTACCGTGTTACATCATCGTATACAGAAAGCCATACCGAATTGGAATAATTAAAGAAAAGTATTATCTAATGTACCCATATGGTAAACAGTCGGGTTAAGATTAATGTTAAGATTAATATAACAACGTGTATAGATGTATACGAAATATTAAGTGGCAGGATGCTTCTCTGAGCATGCCCGATCCTGGACCTCCCTAAAAAGGAGCCCCTCGATCGACCACGATCGAGCGAGTCTCGACTGACATAATTACTGTTTGTTTCTACGTGTCCTTCTACCACAGTTAACTAGTTAAGAGAAATTTGTTTCCCCGTTGCTTGGTAATGAATACTAACATTGGCTTGAGAGGTGGAATCATCCAGAGGATTCGTACGGGAAGCAAGTCCTGCTTCCACATCTGTGACGGTATCGCCGTTGTGCTCGCCGGGATCCGTTGCATCCACCAATTCTACAGTGGCTATTTCTTCTTGTATACATCCAACAAAAATTCCCGTCGTTATATTCTGTTCTTCCTGGACATACCTGCCCATATTTGTTGATGGGACATGGATTCTCCATACCCATGCAGCATTAATCACGTTTCCGAGAACATTTCATGGACGTTTCGCATTGCTCGAATACTGAGAAGGGATATGGGCACCTTTTACGTTAATTTTAGACCATTCCAAGTGTTCCTTTGAACACCTGGGTCTGCGGAGTACAGGAAGAAAGGTGGTACCGAATAATGGTTAATGTACAATAAACCGGATAGATCCTACGAATTTCAATGGGTCTGCCCTGAAAACGCGGTAACGTAAACGTCTGGAATAATGGAAGAGACAGGACGAAATTAAACTGGATATCATGGAAGGAATAGGGGTGCGTCCAAAAAACGTGTAAAACGTGACCTGCTGCATGGGTGATGAACGAACGAAGGATGAGGGGATTATAATGTTTCCTTAGTCCAACAGGAGTGCAGTTTACAAAGACTAATGAACCAAGCTAGAGGTAGAAAAAATAAATAAATAAATAAATAAATAAATAAAAGAGATATAGAAAAGAATTCGACTTGGAACTTTATAGAGAGATCGTTGAATAACAGGCCAAGCTGGTACCAAGGCAATTTTTACTTCTCGACTCTCGTTTCTCACCTCGTTTACCGAACAACTATTATTGGATTTGATTTTATTAATCGCCCGTCGTGTTATTACGTTCATTCGCGATTTTGTCGCGATCCGGTCGCTTCGTGTCCGAACGTTAACGTGTCGCACGTTGTTCGATTTTAAAACGACAGATTCATCGATCAAAGATTGTACAATACAATGCAGTTACCCCTCGTGCAACGAACTAGCAAACGAGCATGGTGATTACGTAACGGATCTATTCTCGCGCTTAAACATGCCCTATTGTAGGACACGTCGCAGGCTCGTAACGAGCAAATCGGGTCCAAGCTCGTAACGACCGATGAAAAAAGCCTATGTGCGAATTGGTTGTTCGAAATGGATTATTAAAAATTATGTAAATAATTACGTAAATCATAGTCGCTTCTCGATGTTATATAAAGCACGGTTTAGTCTGAGGGCTGCTGTAGCTGAGCCAAGCGGAAAGCTCGGAGCCTGCCTTTTGTCCACGGATAGTACGGAGTGATTATATAAAATCAGTATAAGGAGAGATCAGTTTCAATACCTAAAATATTTCGGGATCATTATTCTACAACTGTCTTCCGCAGCAGATATATGGGTTTTCTTACGGTGTATAAACAATTAATGCCACTTCACAGCTTTCATTGCTCTACGATATTCAGCGGTTACTTAGATCGACTGTGATATCAAAACATAACCACGGAATAGTATTTTCAACTTTCGTTATGCAAGCAATAATATCTGCGCAGAAAGTCTGCTAAGACGAGAAAGGTTTAATGTTTTAGCACGTAATTGGGTTAGAAACGGAAGTACTTCTTTCGAGGTTTCGTTCGAGATGGACAAAGCTGAGATTAATTGCCAGGGTAACAACACCACACGTCACTCTACTGTTCAAATATTTTACTCCATTCCGAGCTACGTGGAATTTTCTTTCAGACAAGTTCAGGGCAACCTAGCTACCAATAAGTATCATCGAATTCAAACCACACGAACTCTCTAGATCTGCGAATCTCTGTTTGTTCGATCTGAAACGAGCAGGAAGTCGTGAGATTAAAAAAGAAATAGAAACGATCGTTTTAATTTCGAACAAAAGAGATAACAACCGATCTATTCGGATTCGACGTCTGACGGACTAAGGGAACCATGGGGGTAAACGTGGAGGAGAAAGAATGGTCGTTTTAAGCCTTCGGCTGTGAAGTAAGCGAAACCCAACTGAAGGGAAAAGTGCACGAAACCAAGTTACATTACGTAAAACTGTCGATCTTTCCTTCTACTTTGACGAAATAAATTAATACGCATTTCTTGTATAATTTATTACACGAGAAATATTCATTTTCGAGCATTATTTTCGCGAGAGTCTGGCGAAAGGCTCTTACAATTCTGCGTGAAATTCGGTTCCATTTTAATCGTCGTATCTCGTTTAATCTCGAAACTCGAAAAAAAGAATTGAATCCGGTAGAGTCAGCAGAATTAGTAGTGCGAATAAACGGCTAGTCTGGCGTAGTAAGAATTTGATATTCGTCCCTTCTCTTATGATACCGATTATATAACCCGATGACTACGTGCCTGCTGCGACCGAGCTATTTCTTAAAGATCAAGAATTTTCAAGAATCATCCAGTTAACGTGCACTTCTTCCCGGCAATTTTAGATCGCAACCAACCTGGTTTCTTTTCAAGTATAGGTTTCGTTGGGACGACGACATTATAAGACACGGCCTCCGGCGGTGTGCCGGCACTTTTCAGGGTAATATCTGCCTCAGCATTAACAGCCAAAATCGTCTTCGACTTCTTCTTCTTGTGTTCTTTATCCTTTCTTTTGCTGATTGGCTGCGGTAGTGCTTCATTGCTATGTTCATATAGACATTACATGTACAAGTGGAAAAACCTCTAATCATATCTAGCGGACAGATCCAAAAATTAGTACAGGCAGGACGTAATTTTCAAGGATGATTGAAAGGAATCTAAGCTTCGTGTCATTGTGGCATATGATAATTTCTGCGACGTTGTCTAGCCATGTTTGAGGGGGTGGTAATAGGGAAATTAGGATCTTTCAATTTACAAATAAAGCAATCGCGATCGATGAAACGAACTGAGTCGTTCGGCCTATGACATCTCGCATTAAAAATCAAAGCAAAAGAAAAGAAAAGAGACGATACTCGTTTGTAGTAGAAATGTAATTATCTGCAAACTCGATAGACTTGTAGCCAGAGTAAGTTTCATACTTCCAGCAGAGCTTTCTTTAATAAACGGTTCAGCGTAATTCATTGGTCTTACGTGACAAATTTGTTAAACTATCTACGTTGCAAACCTACTTACCGAAGTATCCTTAAATAACCTTAAACGTAACAATTAACACGCATTTCCCGACGATAATGCGATGCCGGAAACGTCAGTACTGCTCGTACACGTTCAGCGAGTAAGATAACCAACTACACATGTTCTAAGAATAAGTGTACTTTTCGCTGAGTCAACAAACAAGAAATCTACTGGACTTGCATGCGAACATGAGCTGCAGGTTCACTTGCTGATTTAACAATAGCATCGTCAGAAAGAATGCCGTAAATCTAGACGACCCTAATAAGCATAACTAGATTTATATTATTGTAACAGCTTGTAGGAGTGGAGTGATACTAAAATAGACTAGATTGTCGAGGAACTTTCTCCAGGAAAACAACCGACGATAAAAGTCCTACACGTAACAAATGCTTTAGGTCATCAAATCGTGACTGCATACGTTGTGTAACAAAGGGAAAGTGCATTTCTCTAAGAAAGACCTTACTAGCTTTCTCCAAGATAAGGTTCGCCACTTGGCGTCCATACTTCCGAGTTCCAGATTGAAGCTTGCAAATGCTGTCGTAATCGAATGACCCCCTAATGATCGGGGAAACGCGAATTTGTGATTCTCCAACCACGAACGTATGAAAACGAGTACTTCGAATTTCCACTAAGTCCTGAACGTTTTATCCAGCTATAATTAGTGTCATCGTCAACTAATACCCTTGGGATAAAAAAATCGAGATAAGGACACCAGTTGTCATTCATCTAAAGATATTTTTTCGCGTTAAACTGAAACTTCCCAAACAAATCTCTACCCCATTTCTTTGCTCTGTTCTTATCATTCGACCTAACTCGTTAACCGTTACATAAGCAGCAAGCAAGTATTATTAATATCGAATAAAATATACCAATTGTGCATCGCATGTAATTCTCAGTACATTATGTAATAAACCAGTTGATTACAGATTTCCCGTCACGTACATATTCGATACAACAAAAACCATTGTTTGTTGGCATCCCCCTATTGCTATTATCTCCAACATAAAAAAGCAATCGCGATAATAGCTTTAGCAATATAATTAATATCGGATAACGCCTATTATACCGCGGTTAAATATGGCCATCGGCGAGGGTAATTCTAAGTATCCAAATATACATCATTGTAGTCCAGGAGAAAGCGTTCGTGGAAACGTAATTGCAAGTAACCTTGACCCTTGTAAGTCACGTAGCGAATTATAGGAGGATTTGCACACGGAGTCTCTCTTTCTCTCTGTCTTGCGATTCCCTGCGAAACGCGCGCGGCGATCATTGACACATTCTCGCGCAATTGGCCCGTAGGATTCATGCAACTCCGGCGACCAATAAGCATGCAATGACACGAGGCATATCACTCTACTCGGTAAATATTTCCAATCGTTGCGAATAGTCGTCGTATTTGTCACCTCGAATCCCGCGACGTAATCAATTTCTGGCAATTTCGCAATCCCCTTTTCCCTGACCAAGCTTTCTCGTCGAATGACGAAAATAAGAAAGCAGAAAAAAATATGAAAAAAATGCGAGAGAAGCAAATCCGTGGAAATTGATAGCCAACTAACGAGATTTCAATCGGGACGGAAACTTTCGAGAACGTTATAATTCCACGTACAAATTTAAAGTACCGATTTCCTTTTTTCTCTTTCCTTCCACCGGTTTCTAAATATATCCCTCGTAGAATCGGAAATAGGCTAGTTTTAATTGTAATTTATAGACTCGATGTTGATTTATTGTTACAACAGCACGGCCTATGCGGATTATGCAACAATATATAGGAGATATCTCATGCCACGTAGACGACGCCGATGGCGACATTGCAGGCACGTGGCACGGCACATGCACCAATGTTTACAGCAGCAAGTAACAACGTCTGTGTGCACTTTCTCGTAACTGAATGTAATCGTTCTTCTGTACGTACATGAATACAATGCTAAAAATCCACACTGGTGGGCGCGTGTGCGCGCTGTGTCACCTTCACAATCGCGATAATTATGGAACGACCGTGTTGGTCGCACGAACATACCAGGAATAAAAACCCACACACAGGTATTTACATGTGCGTTTCATTACATTCATCATTCCGAATGGGTATTTAATTGTGAAGAAAGAAAAAGGGGGGCCAGGATTAAAATTAGAATAAAAATTCGCTAGATGACTCTTCGCAATGACCCGGAAACGCTTTGAATTCTGTAATCTACGAGAAACACGTTATACAACGTTCCGAACAATCGATTGTAATTATACGGAAATAGATAATGGAAAAAGTTGCAACACCTTCTATAATGCCGCTATTGTTGATTTGCAAAATGAAATCCTAGTGACGTTCATTCCAACGTGTTCGCGTATAAGCGAGCACGCTCTGCTTGGCAAACTCACGTTAGCATGCAACATCCATTCAGCGTCATTGGTCATAACAATTGTATTCGCACCGCAATCACTAATTTTAACTTAAACAGCTATTCTTCTTACCAAGCTATAAATAGACATTTTCCGATAGTTGAATAATCCGTACTTCTCATTTTTTACAACGTCAAGTACCATCTACGATAAACGACTTGACTATTCTACCAAACATTTTGAAATCTAAATATACACGAGCCTTTTCTCGTGTACATCTTTTCTGCGTTTGTATATTTTTCTTTAGACGTACAATGGTATCGAGGGTATTTAT